GATTACCTATCGTGAAAGCTTGATACTTTTCCTACAAAATTGTTTTTTTTTAATATTCCTACGACTTTTGATTACTGAGTTATCGCGGATTAAATAAAAAAAATTATTTTGACTTTAATTGCTCATAACTCCATTAAAAATTGTCGTATCGTATAATTTAAAAAAGAGATTTTTAAAGCTGAAACTTTACTCTCAAGATATATTTATATTGTTGGTAAGAAAGTAATTGCGGTTTTTACTGATTGATGTCTTTTAAAAAAACGCGATGACTTTTTACTTAACCTAATATTAAAATCGCGCTACAAAATTACAAATATTTAAAAAATTGTAAAAATATAAAAATAAAGAAATAAAAGAATATAAAAAAAGTAATAAAGAACAAAAGCAAAAAAAGAATGGGAATAGACTCTCGCCACCTCCTTGTTAGTTATTCCTGAGTTCGGCAAAGAGCGAGATAAGATTATTTCTCTTTCAGCAGGTTGCGATATTGAATTTGCTGTTTTGAATTCTACATTTTTACGCTGGATTTTCTTTCAAGAAATACAATAGCCTTTTCAACTTTAAAATTTAGCAGTAGCTCTAATAGAGTAAGCTAAAATACAAGAAATTAGATGCTCGTGCTTATCTCTATAAGGATAATTTCCACTTTCAGATCTACACCATTGAGGATATATAATAATATGTATCTATTATTTTTGTCTGCTCTACAAATGTACCAAGTTTCATTAAATTTGGCAAGTAACAAAAAAGTAGGTTTACTTATTAGAGCATGTATTAATGGGGTAAACAAACTGTACTGAATGGTGGATGCAAGCAAGTAAGACACAGTGGGGAATATTTGGTTGATATTTTTCTGTCACTATCAGGAGCGTTCATAACGAATAGATTAGGTTTTGTTATTGACATTAAAATAAATATTTGTTTATATTTTTTGTTAATTTACTTGTGAAATGATATATCCCGATATAATTTATTATCATCTGTCGCTTTACACATGAGAATCAAATAAAAGACTGGCATTTTGTAAGATTTTATGACGTCGCACGTGCAAGGATCGTTTTTTGTTGCTGTCATTAGCTGTCACTGAACAGGAGTGGGGCCTGACAAACCAATTACAAATTGAGGGAGAGAGAGAGAAAGATAGATCAGATTATCAAATATCTCCTTTGTCTTATGCCGGCTTGTCAGTTCACTATGTAAAACATGCTCGCTCCGTTAGTTATATGCTCTAAGTTTATCCTTAATAATAAACTATTGCAGATAATATTATGAAGAGTAGATTTACTTGGCTACCCTCGACTTTATTTCTCTCATTTCTGCACGGGTTCGATTCCTGATCAGAGGAATTAAATTCCCCGATCTAAAGTAAAGGACCAATGGTCGTACTACTAGCCGGTGATAGCGCAATTATCTGCATTGACTCGTACCTAAGATTCTGAGTGTTTCCGACTTGCGACACGTGCCACAGAGTGGCTAATAAGCCCCAAGAACGATTCAATTACGTTCTTTTGTAGCCCTCTCTTTATCTCGAAAATTACCTCGAAATAAAGGATCCTGGGACTTGAGTGTAACACTGTATAGCATAATATTCTTTAGGCTTTTACGGATGCTTTCTATATAAAGATTATGCGTTTCGCGAGTTTCCTCCGTGTCCAGATTCATTTTTAGAATGCCATTGGATTGGCATTCCAAGAATGAATTTGGACACGGAGGAAACCTGTAAAACGCATCATCTTTATATTGTACAGCATATATTAAATAATTAAAAGCTTAAGTTCTCAAGAAACAGTTATGTAAAGGGTGTTTTTTTAAGCCCGATAGAACTTACAACTGTAAAAACTAGCACAAAAATGCAATTATAATCAAAAATTTTTTTTTATTCGAAAGATCAATGTATGGCATTAACAATTGAAAATGATTTCGGGCATATGGCCACCGCGGCTGTTCTTGACGTCCAATTTTGAGTGACTTTTTCGAGCAGTGCCGGCCGTATGTCACGAATAACACGAACAATGTTGTCCTCCAAGGCGTCAATTGTTGCTGGTTTATCAGCATAAACCAGTGACTTGACGTAGCCCCAGAGGAAATAATCGAGAGGGGTCAAATCGCACGACCTTGGAGGCCAATTGACAGTTCCATTTCTCGAAATCAACTTATCGCCAAATTTTGATTTCAATAAGTCGATGATTGCGGTCGACGTGTGGCACGTAGCGCCATCCTATTGAAACCACATCTCGTCCGGATCAATGTCATCTATATTTTCAAATAAAAAATCATTGATCATGGTGCGGTAACGATCTCCATTGACCGTAACGCAAGCTCCGGCCTCATTTTTGAAGAAATAAGGTCCGATGATGCCACCAGCGTGTAAACCGCACCAAACGGTGCATTTTTCTGGATGTAATGGAGTCTCCAAATAGGATCTCTTGTGGATTGTTCTCATTCCATATGCGGCAATTTTGCTTATTAACAAACCCGTTAAGTAAAAAATGAGCCTCATCGCTGAACACAATTTGTCGATAAAACAACGGGTCAGTTGCCAACTGCTCTAGAGCCCAATCGGCTAAAGCCGATTCAAGCGTGAGTCTGTTCATAATGATTTGCCAGTGTATACTGAAAGAAATTAAAAAAATTTTTTTATTAAAATTTAATTTTTTGTTTTATTTTTTACAATTTCAAGTTCTATCGGGCTTAAAAAAACACCCTTTATATTATATAAATGATATGGTAGTTGTAAACATATCACTGTGCACATATTGCATATATAGTATAATAACAAATATTTCTTAATTATTATCTATTGCTAAATATAATTAATATATTTGCAATATAAACTATTCTTTACGATCTATAATTACACAGGCCAGCAAAATTAAAGGTGTTGAAAATTGATTGGGATTTAACAATGTTTTCTTATGTAATTTTTTGCGTTGAAGCCAGCTGCAAAATTGCTATATCATGTCAAGATTTCGAGATATCTTGATCTAAAACTGCCAAAAAAGCCGTTTACAACCATATTTAAAATTAAATAAAAAATTGAGAAAATTTTTTTGTCAAACCCATCAACGGTATCATTTACAACTTACGGTCCCTTTAAAATCCATTTTCAACTATCTCAAAACGATTTTTTCTTCCGGATATATATCAATTCGAAGTTCGATAAATATCTCGTAGGCCTAGTCTCTAAGGCAAAGTGGGTGACTTCCCGACCAGTAAAGGCAAGGTGGACGACTCCCCGGCCAGTTAAATTAATTGTTTTCACACTGACATTTATGAAAAATTTTCTAAATTAATTTCTTAAATTAATTTTCTAATTTAATTTTAAATATGGTTGAAAACGGCTTTTTTGGCAGTTTTAGGTTAAGATATCTCATAATCTTGACATGATAAAGCAATTCTACAGCCGAGTTCAGCACAAAAAATTATGTAAGAAAAACATTGTTAAATCCCAATCAACAAAACTATGCAGGCTTGTGTTATTTATTAAAAACAATAGATGCGCTTAGGTGCAGTTATAAGTCGTACCGACTAATTTCTAAATATAATATACCACGAATTGGCAATGCACTTTTTTTAAGTTTATCTTAATATTTAAAAAAATCTAATAGCTATTGAATTTAAAGTGAAATAATTTCAAATATTCAAATATATACAACAAATAATAATAATACGTATAATAATACAACCAAACATAATTTTTTCTTTATGTATATTTAGTAACTGTCGTTGTTGGTAATATCATTTGATAATACTAAATATTTTTAAAGGTAAAATTATGTTTAATTATATTACCTGAACGTTTGGTTAAAATTATTGTACCTAACATTTGGTAGCTATAACTAGACTCTTTTTTTCAATATATCTTACTGTTTATTAACGCAACGTAATTTTTTGCACGCCAATGATAAATACTATTTGCACATGGCATTCTTTTTTCTTATAGTCACTCTAACAAGTTTAACAGATTTGTAAAAATATGAGTCCTCTTTTGTACAAATGCTTTTAAAAATGCGTATAGTCACGTGTCTATACAATAGAGTTAGATAATTACTAAATCTAGATTTATATAATATGTTTGTTTGTGTGAAATTAGTATTTTAGAAACTTTGTTTTTATATGTATTATTATTTTAACTCATTTCTTAATGTTCAGTAAATGTAGATAATTTCTGTATAAGTATTTAACAATTAATTATGAATATATGTAATAAAAAATTATTAATTCTGATTTACATTGACACAGTAATTGAGATTATAATAATAAACAACATCCTTACAATTTGTTCATTTTATATCAGCTGTAATTTAGATTATTTAATTTATTTATTTATTTATTATTCAATTTTTATTACGCGTAATATCTAGAATGCTCGTAATAAATTCATATACTAGACATTTGTGCCAGGTTGCATGTCTCATTTTTGCTGATTGCGAAAACTGTGTATTGTGTCTATAAAATATAATTTCAGCGTACATTTCCTATTCATCACGAAAATGAGACGTTACGAAAATGATGCGTTAAAACGTACTCAGTTGTCACGCAATATTACATTGCCGCTTCGCTTGTCAGTGTAGCTTAAAAAGTATATTATATGTGACCGCAGATCTCATTCAGTATTTTTCAAGACATCGGACCGATTTACTAAGCAGAATCTTTCCACATAGGTAGCCACATATATCCAAGGTAAATAGAATTCATTGAAATGCATATGCAGTCTGTGCTACAATGTGATATAGCGCACGTTTGTAATATAATTTATTAATTGTCATATTTTAATATAATTATTATCTGATAATTTTATTTTATGCAAAACAAGTTTATTAATACTAAACTTATAAAATATTGGGTTGGTAAATAAGTTAATATGGTTTTTTAAGGTGGAATGAAATAGTTTTATATATTCTATTTTTTTTTAAATTAGCAATTATACTATTTGATAGAGCAAAGAATTATTAAAAATTTAAAAAATTTGTTTTTTAATTGTGATATAATGATTTTTAACGGATTTATAATCAGGTAAAGTTAGAATGCTTTTTTATTTAACCTACGAATAACATAAAAATAAAAAATCGTAGCAACGTTAAAAAAAACAAAATTGTAGGGAAAACTTCAAGTTTACATGATTGATAGTCAAAAATTTTCACAAATTTGTTTGGCATCTGACAGACATAGAAAATGAGAAAAAAAATTTCCTTTTTCTTCAGCTGTAGTCTTTTATATATAAAAATAATAAAATTAATATAAACTCAAAAATTATAAAAATCTTCTGAAAATAAAGATTTCAAGCTTTAAATCCCTTTTTTCAATTTAAATTTCAATCATTTTTAACGAAAATATTGTATATACAATTATTGTATATACAATATACAAAACCAAATGAACTTATTTGTTAATCCAATATTAATAAACACTCAAATAATTTTTTTATTACATTTAACGTGATACTTTTAGCTTTGCTATGATATAATGATGGATTTTGTTCAATTATTAATGTTAAGATCTTTTTATTTCTATAGGAGTTTAAATTTAAAGTGAATAATGACTTCAATAAAGTTAATATCGTTCGAGGAAGAACTGAAGAAGAATCCCGAATTAAAAGAGTCAGATATACAAATATTGAGAGAATGGTGCGAAAAGCAACCTCATCTGCCCAAAATATCAAACAGCGAATTAGCATTGTTCTTGCATAGTAATTATTATCGACTCGAACCGACGAAAACTACTATCGACACCTTTTTCACAGTCAGGACTCATGTACCTGAGTTTTTCTCTAATCGAGATCCTATTAACAACAAAGAGCTCAAAAAAGCAACTGAAACGGTGTAAGTATGTTTATGATTTTTTCTTTTATCATTTCTTAATTCGTTACTTTCGTTGCATCCTTTGTGACAAAGAATGCAGTAATATTTCAGCAAAAAAATTTCGTGTACAAAGTAGAAATGATCTTATTATCGACAGAACAGACCAAATTTTGGAAGGAACTACTAGCGAAGGCTATAAAATCCTTTATGGAAGACTTCTAGATATTGAACCATCGCATTTTGTTTACAACGATGTATTGAAATTATTTAATATGGTACTCGATCTATGGCTCTATACGGAAGGTACTTGCAATGGCCATATATTATTAATTGATATGAAAAACATTTCTTTTGGACACGTCGGCCGTTTAAGTCCTATGGGCCTAAAAAAATTTCTCTATTATTTACAAGAAGGATTGCCTGTCAGATTAAAAGGCATGCATTTCATGAATGCTTCACCAGTAGTAGATGTTATTTTGAATATGATGAGACCTTTCATGAAAAAACAGCTCTTGGATATGGTAAGATTATGTTATATTCAATTGTTCTTCAATGTTATGTATTAAAAATGAGAAAGTGAAAAAATCAAATTCCTTTCTATGATATACGAGGTCTGTTCAAAAAGTATCGCGAATTTTGTGTTTTTTCAAAAATTATTTATTTATTCATGAATATCTATTTTGTCCCCTTCAAAGTAATCCCCATCAGATATTATACACTTGTACCAACGTTTTTTCCAATCCTCGAAGCACTTCAAAAAATTATTTTTTGTGATCTTGCTCAGCTCCTCCTTCGATGCCGTCTTTATCTCCTCAATCGTAGCGTAGCGTCGTCCTTTCATGGGCCTCTTCAGTTTCGGGAACAAGAAAAAGTCACAGGGGGCCAGACGGGGAATACGGTGGCTGCGGTATCATTAGTGTGTTGTTTTTGGTCAAAAATTCGCGCACAAGCAACGATGTGTGAGCAGGGGCGTTATCATGGTGCAAAAGCCAATTTTTGTTCTTCCACAAATCCGGGCGTTTCTGGCGGATTGCTTCGCGCAAATTGCGCATAACTTGCAGGTAATATTCCTTATTGACCGTTCTACCCTGTGGCAAGAACTCATGATGCACCACGCCCCTGCAATCGAAGAAAACTGTAAGCAAAACCTTCACATTCGACCGAACTTGGCGCGCTTTTTTCGGTCTTGGCTCGTGCGGCAGCTTCCATTGGGATGATTGAGCTTTGGTTTCCACGTCATAACCATAAACCCATGATTCGTCACCAGTTATGACCCTCTGGAGCAAATTTGGGTCGTCGCGGACAGAGTCCAACAGCTCCTTAGCAATGTTAATGCGATGCTGTTTTTGGTCGAAATTGAGCAATTTTGGTACGAATTTCGCGGCGACCCGTCTCATGCCCAAATCATTGGTAAAAATCGAATGGCACGAGCCAATCGATATGTTTAGGTCCTCAGCAACCTCTCTAACGGTGATTCGACGATTGGCCAATACTATTTTCTTCACTTCATCAATGTTTTCGTCTGTTGTTGACGTGCTCGGGCGTCCGGCACGCTCTTCGTCGTTCACATCTTCTCGGCCCTCTGAGAACATTTTGTACCACCGATAAACGTTGCTTCGGTCCAAGGTAGCTTCACCATATGCCACAGTCAACATTCGGAATGCGTCCGCGCACTTAATTTTGTTTTTCACACAAAATTTGATACAGATTCTTTGATCCATTTTTTGGAATAGGCAAAAATCGAAGACGAGCCAAAACACGTGCAAGCAAAGCAGCTGTCAAAAATTAACTGAACATTCAAAATGGCCGAACTTGTCGGCATAAGTGAGAGACATGAGTACCAACATAACGCCACAAAAAAATCGCAAATCGAATATACGTAACCCGCGGAAATTCAAAATTCGCGATACTTTTTGAACAGACCTCGTATAAATTGCTTATTTTTTTCTAAATCTTAGAATTAGTAAAAAATAAAAAGAAAGTTAAATCAGTATAATACACATATGGAACATTCTCTGTCAAATCGACCATCCCTCTGCTCATTTCAATTTTTGAGATAAAATTTTTTAAAAAGGCTTAAAATTTTCGTTAAAATATCTACTTTTCGATGCTGCATGGCCTTCTTGTAAATCCAAAATAATGACTAGAATATCATTATTTTATTAACCCAAAAAAATAACTTTCGAAAAATTCTATAGTCATGCATTTTCCCGTGGTTAGCTTTACTCATATCACATCCTGCACGTTTCTTTATGATAAAATTCGGATAGATAATTTATTCACGTAGTGGAGGTCTTATCCCTATGTGCGCGCGTGTGGGCGTACTAATTTTCTCGCTAAGATAAAGACACAATAGATTAAGTCGTAATTTTGTCTAAACGGCGTTAGGACCGTGAATGTGAGAGGCAAGGGAACTCATATACGAGTAAATCAAGCACCCCAACAGGATGAAAACTCGGTCATAGGTAATGCTAGGCACGAGAAAATGCATATTGGTTGAATTTTTTCGAGTATATATCAATTGACTCTATCACTAATTTAAAATAGTATAATTTCGAGTATATATCAATTGTCTCAATCACTAATTTAAAATAGTACAATCTCATTGGTGAAGCAATGGAAAATTACTAGAAACAAGCCGATGAAAGTGGTGTGTGCAATTGAACTATGTTCAGGAGCAGTCTAATAATTTTCCATTGCTTCACCAACAAGTGTGCCGCTCCTAGTTTTTCATTCTAATCACCATTTTGGATCCGCTATTTTGAATTTACAAAAAGACCATATGGCATCGAAAAATAGACATTTTAACGAAAATTTTGAGCCATTTTAAAAAATTTTATTTTAAAAATTAAAATGGGCAAAAGGTAGACGATTTGACAGAGAATGCCTCATATATTATGCCTATATATTATTCATTTAACTTCTTGGAAAAAGTTGCTTGAAGCAGAACATAATTTAATGCAAAAATCATCAATATCATTAAACTATGTTTCTGCAAATTGTAGTTTCATATGCATACTACAAGCGACACTCTGACGAAATTCGTGCCGCTAGAAGTTCTTCCGAACGAAGCAGGTGGTCAAGCTGGTCCTATACAGGAGCTACATAGTAAGCAAATGAAAAAATTAGAAGATCACATTGCTTGGTTCCAAGAGGATGAATCTAATCATCGCGTCAATGAATCGTTACGACCGGGTAAAGCAAAGACAGCAACGGATTTATTTGGCGTTGAAGGAAGTTTTAAGAAGCTCGAGATTGACTGATTGAATTAATAATCAGATCTTTTGCAACAATGCGCGATGTATTTATATTAGTTTTATTTTTAGAATATTATAATAATACCGTTTTCGAAAATAAAACTAAGTAAATCTGTTTCACATATGTTAAAATTAAGGCTTGGTGTTAACATTACGTTAACATTAAACAAAATGGTTGGATAAAACAGGGTAGTATCAGTTAAGTACGATAATTCTTATGCAAACCAATACGGTTAACAAAACAACTTTATTAATAATTAACCCGCTTACATGTTTCGGCTCACTTTTAAGTCATCCTCAATATGATGTTGTACTTACAATTTTTTTTTTCAAACTAATTCATTTCAATGAGCCACCTCTACCTATTCACGGAAACTATAATGTAAAAACAAACTCTAATAACAATCTAAAATGTATTAAAATTATTAAAAAATAAATTTGTTGAAAACGATTTATTATAAAACAATAGAAGATAGCTCGTCAAAATAAGAATTTACCATATCGCAAACACTTAAATTCTACAAGTTTCGTCGAAAACTAATCCTTGATTATTCAGCGAATCAATGTCAATTATGTTAAAATTAATGAAAAAATTTTTAATATACTTAAAACGTTAATCGCAAAGAAAAAGAAAAAAAAATGAAAAAAACTTTGATATTAATTATAGTTCAGATGGACATTAAAACCAAAACTGAACTTTTAATATATAATTTGATCGATCAGTGTACATTCTTCTATACATCAAGATTAAATTATTAAAGATTCAGTTTTGGTTTTGATCAGTAGATTTGTTTAGTGAACAAACTAATTTATTTAGTGAGTCACCTCCTATTCACGAAACCTATAATATAAAAACAAACTCTAATAACAATCTAAAATGTATTGAAATTAGTAAAAGGTAAATTTTTAAACACCACGGTTTTTCCATCTGGACTATAATTAATATCAGAGTTTTTTCTTTTATTCTTTTTTCTTTTTTTTTGTGATTAACATTTTAAGTGTATTAATAGAATTTAAGTGTTTGCGATATGGTGAATTCTTGTTTTAGCAACCTTCTATTGTTTTATAATAAATCATTTTGCTTTCAACAAATTTACCTTTTAATAATTTCAATACATTTTAGATTGTTATTAGAGTTTGTTTTTATATTATAGGTTTCGTGAATAGGAGGTGACTCACTAAATAAATTAGTTTGT